ATACAGCAAGTACAAAAGTCATCACAAAATGATCTCGATCACCAAACACAACACAGAAACCTCTACAAAGTTGAAGATGTAATGTGACAAATATGACTCTAGATACACAACGAGCCACAGTGTTCATGTGGAAAATTTAGATCCGGATTGGAGTCTGGCACAATAGTTGCCTGATAATTTCCTGTCGTCTGATTGTTTTCTCGGTCATTAAAACTGCAAAAAACATTTCTTTTACCAATTTGTCCAAACCAATGGCTGATAACCAAATGACCAATATTAAAAAATCGAAACTATTTTCCTCTAATAAATTAAAACAATTAATTTAGGCATCATGCAAAAATGGATATTCATTTTGTGATTTTTCAATAATTACATTTAACAGTGTTATTAAATAATAAGTGTTTTTAAATATTAACTTAAAGTGAGCATTAGATGACGACAAAGGTATTCTAAATGTAAAAATAAGAGAAATGAACATGCAAAATTAAATGTCCAACATATACACAATTTCAACTGATAAACGTAAAAGAAAAACTCTAATATCAGTGGACAAATCCCTATATATTATATGACAAAAAGTTTGAGGCCTGGAAAAGTGTCATAAAAAAACAGATAAAACTCCACCACAATGGTTTTGTTGTGTCGTGAAGCATTTTCACGCCTGCTTAAGACACAGTGTAAGACAATAATATGAATACATTCAGATGCTAGCGTGGTCTCTTGGTTAAGAAAATGATTAATGAGACCTAATGAATGCGTTACTGGTGGAAGGTAATTCAGAGGAAAATAATATCAACTCTTTACCTCATGAATCTGAAACACTAAAACACTTTAATCATGACACAGGATGCCATCACTTCCTTATGCAGTAATTATTCACTTAAAATTGATTAATATTTGGCAATGAGGTTGAAAATGAGGTTAAAAACAAGTTGAAGTATTTAGTGCCTCCTCGGCAACATGAAGAAAAAAAACATAGTATAGAAAAGCATTCATCAAAAGCAAAGGCAACTTTATGCATACTGTATAGGTTAATTTGTGAAAAAGGGAGTGCTAAATATAAACCAGGTATGATATAAGTGGTTGCTAATTGTGCTATCTACCCCCATATGTTATGTCATATTCAAAACATATACACAAGATGCACAGATTATGCAACATATTCCAGTGGATGATCAAATAACCAATGCCATAAATTAATGTTTATAAACTGTACTGGCTACTTGGCTAGTAAAAAATAAAATAAAATTCAACTTTCAGTCCATGCATGTCAAAATCTAAAAATTCCCTTTCAGCAGATATAAACATTGAAACATTTATCCATTCATTTTTCCCATAGGGATTCTAAAAAAAGTCTTTATTAAAGCACTACAACCCATGAACCAAGCCAACCAGCTACGAGGTAAAACAAAACAAAACATTACAAACTTATTTGAAAATCTGAGAAAAAGACAAAGTAAAAGACTATGTACTTAGTGGTTTTAGTGAGGGAAAACAACTACAATCCCATGAAGCACTGCGAATGACAATCAAATTAAAGACAGTGGTAAAAAAAAATTAAAATAAATAAAATTCCTTGATTTGTGGATTATATATAGAGCAATATATATACTGGATATAAAAAAGGGACAAGCCCAAACTTCCTGTTCAACAAGAAAAACATCAATACACAAAAAAAGCCTTATCAATATATTTATTGGGATCTATAATATTACATTTTTTTTTAGATTTGTTAGGATAAGTGATAGAATGGATGTTGTTTGAATGGAATGGTTCTACCACTCAACAGTGTCAGAAGATACAGCGCTCTTCCCTCTCTCTCCGTCTCTTACTTCAGTTTTTCCCATTTCAGGGAGCTCTTTTTCCTCTGGAGGCAATCACTCACAACCCCTCCTCTGTGTGGTTCTCCACTCGAGACCTGAGCAGCTTTTCAACATCATCTTGTCAATACAGGGATAAGGAGTCAGCCTGAAAGTTCATTAATTCCTGAGTAACCTATGCTTCAGTTTTGCTAATACCCAGTTCTATTGATGTTTTCTTTCCCATGGAGTGGGCCAGGTTAACCCCCTACAACCCACCTCAGCTTCTGCCTGAAACAGCCCATTGTCAAGCCCGGCATCACGCCACAGAGATGTACAAGGGGCATAAATAGGGCATCATTATGGTACGACCCAGTGCAAGGGAATGCTGGGATGGTTGCATACCCAGACCCACCTGTCCTGGGAGACTCTATGCTCAGCCCTCGCCTTACACAGCTTGGGGCCAAGGCAGGATATATAGGCCCTGACCCCTGAGGTCATGTTCCGTGCGCAAATTCAAAAGCTTGACATCTGTTGCCTGGCTTTTTGATCGCACAGAGAAAGAAAAGTTCAGACTGCTTGTCAGCTAAACACTTGTCCTACGTGAAATAATATGCCTGCAAGCCACCTAGGCCATAATTAAGGGGGGTTTTTTTTGTTTGTTTATTTTCTTTTGTTTTGTTTTTGTTTAGACCAATGAAAAGAGAATTGAAAGTAGGATGGGTTTAGTTTTGCTGGGAAAGGGGTCCGCTCTTTGTTTTACGGGACAATGGTGTCCATAGAGCTTATGCAGGGAGAGCTTCTGTCATGCTGGCCTTAACCCTATGAAGCCTGCAATTCACATAGTAAGCTTACTATGTGAACTGCACACATAGTACACATAATACTATGTGAACTGCACATAGTAGTAAGCTTATGCACCTTTTGACTTTTGAGTGGAGAAAAAAATTTTTTAATTATTTTTGGATAATCTGAGGTGCATAAGCTCAGATCAATGAGGTCTACAATCAATCAGTATAAAAAATATATAAAACCTGTGCTAATTGGAAGAAAACAAGTTGATAATAAGATTGAACCAATAATATACCATAACAAGAAATGTATTATTATTATTTATTAGGGATGCACGATATTGGATTTTTGCCGATATCTGATATGCCGATATTTTTCAACTCATTTTGGCCGATACCGATACCGATATATTTCCTTTTGTTTGGAAACAACACCAAGTCTCTCCTGTGCAGAAATTATAAGCAAAATATTTTTAATTTTGGTTAGCTTTTAACAAGAACTTATTTGTTATAATTAAATAAACAATAATAAAGTTTTTTTGACAGTACATTGAAGCTTTGAAAATAACTATAAATAAACTATATATCAATCATTCAAAAGCTTGACATCTGTTGCCTGGCTTTTTGATCGCACAGAGAAAGAAAAGTTCAGACTGCTTGTCAGCTAAACACTTGTCCTACGTGAAATAATATGCCTGCAAGCCACCTAGGCCATAATTAAGGGGGTTTTTATTTGTTTGTTTATTTTCTTTTGTTTTGTTTTTGTTTAGACCAATGAAAAGAGAATTGAAAGTAGGATGGGTTTAGTTTTGCTGGGAAAGGGGTCCGCTCTTTGTTTTACGGGACAATGGTGTCCATAGAGCTTATGCAGGGAGAGCTTCTGTCATGCTGGCCTTAACCCTATGAAGCCTGCAATTCACATAGTAAGCTTACTATGTGAACTGCACACATAGTACACATAATACTATGTGAACTGCACATAGTAGTAAGCTTATGCACCTTTTGACTTTTGAGTGGAGAAAATTTTTTTTAATTATTTTTGGATAATCTGAGGTGCATAAGCTCAGATCAATGAGGTCTACGATCAATCAGTATAAAAAATATATAAAACCTGTGCTAATTGGAAGAAAACAAGTTGATAAAAAGATTGAACCAATAATATACCATAACAAGAAATGTATTATTATTATTTATTAGGGATGCAAAATCAGCAAACACTGTGGAACCAAATAAATAAGAAACATAGAACGTTTATTAGCAAAACGAATAAGAAAGCTTGGAGGCACGGCATATACACCTTGATGTAAAATAAAATAAATAAAATACACAAAGTTTAAATAAAGTAATCAGCAAACACTGTGGAACCAAATAAATAAGAAACGAATGTTTAAAAAAAACTTCCAGTCAATTGCCAAACAGGCGCCTTTGCATTTCCTTTCTAAACAATCTTCTGCCATCGTCTTGTCTTTCTCACCTCACTCTTGTCAGTCAGCTCGACTCACTCTCCTCACGTGATAAATAAAATCTGACTCCTGCGCCGTGGTGCACTGTCGTTCGCGCAGGGTTTGGCACGCTGCATTGAGCGTTTAGTTTTTAAAAGTGTCTGTCCACTAACTGAACTAGGCTAAATTATTTTTGTTACTATAAAAAAAATCAAAACGACGGTGGGGGGCGGTGCCGCGGTAGGCAAATGACGTAAAAGGTGCTGCGGCTTAACACCGGTATAACCGAAAACACCGCCTATCGCAGCAAGCCTACAACTAGGCACAACAATCTGCTCGGATCTAAACAGCACTTAACGTAAATGTCATGTTTAGAGCAGTGACCTTTTTGACTCCAAGGCCCCCCATTGTCCACAGTGATATTCATAGCCACTATGACTTTTCTAGTTGTTCATGATTTACTGGATAATGATAATTAAAAATAAATAAATAAACCATCACACGATCACAATTTCTGCCCCATAAAATATTTAAGAACTTGGTATAACTAAAAATGTCTCCATGATGGCTATACATTTGGTACATACAGTGCAAAACATTACTGATTTGTTGATCATTTCATCTAACTAATTAATTAATAACTAATAATTCCAAGACAAACACCATTTAGAACCTCATCTCTGTTAGCCAGCTGGTTTTGGCACCTTGGTTACGCAAGTAAATCAGACGAATATGCAGCAACAATGTTCAGAACATTAGAGAAAATCATATGTATATATTTGCAAGTCATAAAAACACATGTACAAGGAGGTCCTGTTGCTTTGTAATTACATTTTATGTTTCCTGTTGCTGCCGGTTTGCACAGTTGTGAAAAGGGTTTTCAAAAGCTGATTTGCAGTTCATAGATCTCCAACATCTTTCTTGAGTTCTTGAAAGTTCTTGATATTTATGCACGGTGTCTTTATTCACAGTCTCGACCTTTGGTGAATGCCTCGACGGCTGTTCTGCCCACCATGGTGGCTCCCATCCCAGCTGCTAGAACCCAGTCCCCAGTCATTAACACCCCTGTCACACATGCTGCAGAGATGATTCATGGGTAAATGATTGTATCCATCTCTTTGCTCTTTTAACTCATAATGTCATAATATTGTTTGGTGTTATTTCAATGATCTTGAATTTGTGGTTTTAGGCGACCAGTAACCATTCACCCTCCACCAACCACCATCAACATCCAGCGTACCTCCACTCCCCGGGACACTGCCACGCGCATCACCCTCCCCTCCCACCCAGCTATTGGAACCCAGAAAGCCCAGCCCGCTCACACCGTCACACAAGTCAGTCCTACTATGAGCCTATTGATGTAAAGTTATTTATATAAAGCAGGGACCCCACATTACACCCTAAAATATAAAGGAAGCTATATATTGAGTCATGTATATAGATGCTTTTATACTGTATTTGCAAAAAAAATAAAGTATGAGATTATTGTTTTTTTAATGTTTTTTGTTTGAAAATTAAATAAGATAAATTAATTAAGTGTTTTATATTTTCAATGTACTAAACCCAGTCTAATTAAAATATGATCTGAAAACAAGTTACTTTCTATAAGTTGATAGTATGTCATGTTTTGACCCACTGCGCTGTTAGAGTAATGTTTGTATAAATCTTTAAAATAAAGCATATAGGGTGTTCTTGCTGGAACATAATGCCACAAACTTTTTTACTCGTTTATGAACTTTGAGTTTGTTTGTTTTGTTTTTTTGTCTACAGAAGCCGATCTTCAACACTGTGACCCCTGTTGCCGCTGCCACTGTAGCTCCGATCTTAGCTACCAACACTGCTACTTCAGCTACTACTACAGGTAACTTTGTCCCCCAAAATTATTTACAGTGACACATTTCCATGTGGTTCATAACTTCATGTAAACTCTGTGTACCCCAAAACAGGCTCTGCACCACATACCCAAATGACCAGTAGCACTATTGTCACCATGACAATGGCCTCTCACTCCTCCCATGCTACAGCTGTGACCACCTCTGCCATCCCTGTCGGTAAGCACAACCCACGTGTTTATAGCGCTTAATATTGTTTATAAATGGAAATTATAAACAAAAAAAACATCAGAGAAATTAATGCAAAAATAAACAGGTAAGGACAAGTAGCCACAACATCACATTGTTTTTTGTTTTGTTTTTAGATCAGAACGAAAACAGAATAAATAACAAACAGCCTTTTCTTAAAACTAAATTGTGAAAATATTTTTTAAATGTAGGACAAATATATATTATAAAAAAAACAAGTAAATAAATAATAGTGCACATTTATCTTGGTTAACGGTAACATCAGAGCAAGCAGCCATGGAAAGTGGCTAAAGTACATGGCTAAACTTGCATGTTTCAAATGATAAGCCATGATAGAGGTTGATAAATGATAGGTAAATGTTTGCCTGCAGAGTTTGGGTGTCATGTTTTTGGGGTCATCTTTTTACCTTCTCGAAATAAATCCACACTTTGGATTTCTTGCCCGACATAATTACCACATGGAGCAGCCGTGTTGATGATCTGTCCTTCCTGGTCTGCGTGACTTTGACACTTCCTTTTGAGTTATTTTTTCTGTGACCGACCGATCAATCAAAATTTGGTCGACCAAGCCTCTTCTCATTGACTAATGTTTGGTCAGCCCTAGTCGATTGTTGTAGTGAAATAGAATTAGGCAGCACTGAAATTCATAATTGATGAAATTCATGTTGTGTTCTTTAAACCCTTGTTTAAAAATGTGAATGTATTTGAACTAGGGATGTCAATTTTCGATCATTTCCATGATCGATCGTCGTTTAAATTAACGATCAATTAATCGATTAATCGTTAACCTTAATGCTGCAAAATGCGTCTATTGCAGCAGCACGCAGTCAAAGGCATGACAGGATGTGCAAAAGCCACTCACACACACACAAAAAAAACGCTTTCTC